GGCGAAAGGAGTGCAGACAAAGTGGTGGTGGTGGGTAATCTCCTTTCCGTATTTTCCATGTCTGGGGTGAGAGTTATTAGTGGCCACAGCCTGCTGATGTGACTTGAGTGTGCCAAGGCGGCGGGGGGGTTGGGTGTCAGGCTATGAAAGGCAGCTCGGTGTCCAGGGCTGCTCTGCAGCTGTGAGTGTCAGTCCCCACAGCGGCAGGCTCCGCTCAGTGCCCCTTGTCCGTGCGTCTGTGCAGATGGGGACCTGCATTACTCCCTGCGTATCTCTGTCGGTGTGGATGGTGATGCTAGGAAAGGACAGGCTCACCAGGAAAAGCAGCCTCATTCAGTAAAAAGAGGCAATGCCAGCTCAGAGCCTGTTGCTTTCATTGAGAGCCTGAATTCATTCTTCTGAGACGTATTTCACAAAGGAGCTCGGGGAGCTCTCAGTATCTCAGAGCGAAAAAAGAAGCGCTTTTTTTTTTTCTAAGAGCATAATAACAGGGCATATGTTTTAAGGCTCCTTTGATTATTAGCATGCAGAACCCTTCTCCTTAAAGGCTCAGTCCTACAGGCTGCCATGGGAGGTATCGCATTGACTAATGCAATTTTGGGGAGGAGGGGAGGGTCAGGGCTTTGAGTGTAAGCCTTCATGGTGAAAGGCTGAAGGAATGCTGGGATATAAGAGCTGTAGCTGAGACTAATTAAAGCTTTATTAGAAACTACTAAAAAAAAATCGCCTTTATTTTGGTGCAAAGAGAATGTATTCTAGCATATTTCTTTAGTGCTAAACTAACAGCATTTTCTGAGGAGAAGTAATCCATATTCTTTCTTCAGAGGAATTTGGCTATTTTTCAGTAGGAACTTTGTTAGACTGCTAAAAATGTCAATTGCTTCTTCATGGTGACACCAGACTATCGTACTTATCAGAAACAAACCTTTACATCCTGAATAGCAGGAGAAGACAGTCAGGGAAGGAACCTTTTTTACGAAGGATTAAAACAAAGGGCCATCTTAACAGTCCGGGTCCCCTGGCTTTCTGTTTCATTCTGAATTCTCTGGGGAAAGAGGTGTAGAGCATCTGTATGGAGGGGGTTGGGATTTGGGTCTGTGTTTTGTGTATTTAACACTGGGCTGTGGGACAAGGAGCTTTCCTTTTCCCAGCTTTTGTCCTCTCTCTTCGTGGGTCTGTACAGTAAGTAGTCCAAAATTCAGTGTCACAGTGTCTGCTTTTCTACAAAGAAAGAAGGGAGAACAGCTTCAATGTGTGGCTGTTGAAAGTGAAGGGAGAAGCCAGGCTTAAAAGTAAAAAAGTAATTTCTGCTTGTAGGCATACAGGAGATTTCAAAACTTCATATTGGTCATCTCTCATTCCATACTGGTTTCTTGTGTCCAGCCTGAATGCTGAAACCACATCTCTTGTCCTCTTTTTTTTTTTTTAAAATCTTTTTACTTTACACATGGGGTCATATTCAGAGACCTTGAAGCACTTAGTTTACATAAAGCCTAATCGTATTTTTGATATATGCAATTAAAAAGTATTTAGAAGCGAGGAAAGCCCCCGGAGAGTGTCCAAGGAAGTAGCTCCAAGACATATCATTGCACAGTGCCGCACTTGTGGCAGAGTGGAACCAGGTCTTCTGGTTTTGAGTCTTTTCTTCAGCCACAAGAATTTCCTTCCACCAGGCATTTCTGCAATGCTTATGAACCCACAGCAGCTGAACAGCTTTCCTGATTGCATATAAGCCTTTTTTGTTAACTCTTTAGGCTCTGGCCATCTGTTAACGTTGAAGATGTTCACTGTATGTGTTTTTTAGGGCTATTGTCTTGACAGCACTCGAAGGTGTGGCAAGTATCAATCACAGTCACAGTAGTACTGGAAATTACACGGGATCAATGGGCTTAAAGGTACATGAGTGGAAAGTTTGGGAGTGCTAATTCTCCTTTACACAAAAAAGGTGAAAACTTGAGAATAACGTAATTGCACTAGGGGGCAAAAAAAAAATCATTGTTAGCTGTATTGGTTTAAAACCAGACTCAGAGGCTCATTACCTTGCAGATGGTGACAAGAGCAAAATAATTTCTTTTGCCTTGACGTCACTTGAGCAGAAGAACTGCAGTGCTTTATTTGGGTGTTTGAAAATGGACGAGAACCACAAACACACCTTCTAATGTGGCATCCCCGTCACACACACCTGTGAAGCGCTGACAGTCACCTGCCTTGACAATTAATTGCCATTGATGTGGAATTGATGGGCCTCAAAAACTATTTTAGTTATCAATGAATATCTCCAATAGCATGACGGAGATATTAGAGTATTCGTTGTGTTATTCTGCATCCTGGTGAGACAGGTCAGGGCTACTACGTACAGGTCTCAATTAACTCCTCAGAGCTGGGCTCTTCTGCGTGTTGCAATGCACACAAATTGCACTCTGTAAGCAAGGACACAATGGCAATTGCAGAAATTTTGTAAGGAATTGAGTACTTCTTGGTGGGGAAAGTGCTTTGGGGTTTGTTACATTTAATTTGTGAATATTTCAAAGGATAGGGCCTCTAGCCAGCATGACTTCTGTTCTTTATGGCTGCTTAGGAAAACTGAAATATGCGGGACTGATGATACACATTAGAAACTGGCATTTTATAACATTTACTCTTTGCAAAATTGAATGACGCAGGAAATGTGTAGCATCTCACAATAGGGAAAAATATCTTCCCCATTACAGAATAGAGCAGAGTTTAGTGTTTCTCTTAGGCATATTATGATCTCACTCCGTAACTTAGTCTGGGAAGTTGCAGTGATACATTTACTGGCATTTCTGTGGCAAATTAAAGAAGGAGTTGTCATGTACTCTGCAAAGGAATGTGGGCAGGCAGCACATCATCCAATTCCTTTACATATAAGGTAATCTCTTAACTCTCTCTTAGAGGAAAGTGCTATAGCAGCCTTCCTATCTAGTCAGGTTTGGATGATACGCATTTACATTTCCCTGTCTTTGAACTGGCAAGATTTCAAAAGCTAAGTAACAGTCTTACTAGCAGAAGAGCTGGTATTCTTCTCATTGGTAACTCTGTTTGCACTTGCAACTGTATTTTTTTTAGTATGGCTTTAATATAAAGCAATTTATTTCTAGTAAGTGTTACAGTCCATAAAAATCTAACAGCCTGGAATAATTTAATACAACAACAATATAAACCCCCAAGTTATTGAAGATATATTTTTAGATATATGTGAGTTTTTAGCCCATTTCTTAAAGAAAAGGGAGTTACATAGGTAGCTTGTTTTCTGGTTGTCTCATCACCAGTCAGAACTTTGGAAACTGCTGTCCACCTTAAACCAAATTTGAATGAAAGATGTCCCAAAGGTCATTAAGTTCCCACAAGTTTGATGAAAACTGGCGTTCAGAAGAGAGGAGAGACCCAAATGAAGGTGTCCTCAGAGGGGCAGGCGGGCAGATGTGTGCATTCTCTGTGGCAGCAGCTGGCAAAGTGGCGTACGCGCATGTATGGTCAAACCAGCCAGCATGAGTTTAGCTCCAGATCAGCCACAGCCTGTCATGTCTGTTATTTGGAGGATATGTCATAAGACATGCAGGGGGAAGTTGGTGTTACTGTGGCGGGGAGAGGAAGGGGACACAAAGTACAAATCCATAGCAAATTAGGCTTCATAAGTTCTGTTGCGTAGAGAGAAAATGGGAGGTTTTTTTAATTTTCTGAAACATGCAATAAAGCCTCAACAAAAAGACTGTTCTTTATAAGCCTTTATAAAGCATTTTATTCAAACCAGTTCTTGTAAAGCTTTGAATAAATTATTTTCTCTTCTTATGGCCAAAATGCATGATATATGGATGTATACACATTAATGAAATTGCCACTATGCATTTGGCAGCTGTAGAAAATTTGTGCGGTAGAGAAGAGAGTAGGGTGGAGGAAACACTGTTAAATCCTGTACCTTCGGTTTGCTTTATTGACTGTAGCCCCAAAACATAAAATCTTGTTACATTGTCCTAGAGCAGATGTTTATTATTCCTCTATAGGTGTGAAGTATTGTAGACACGTGCTTCTTGCAGCCACAGGGGGGTCCTATTGCTGTTCAGGTTGACAGGAAGAGTAGAGCAGTGCGTTGAGTGCAATTCATTACTTCCTAAATTTGTTGTCTGTGGATCAGCAGAAGTTGGCCATTGCTGCACTAGGAGGATGAGATTCTTATGGAGTTACCTGTTGCTGTTCTGTTTGAAGGGGTTTTTAACCTGTGCACTGTTCCAGCCTGGCAATGTTTCATGTGTGGTCACTAACAAGAGCGCAGTAAGTGGTAATACCTGTCAAGGCCTTTCAAATGTATTTAAAATGAACAGGATCCCCCCCAATGACGAGTTTTCAACTCCTCTCGGTCACTGTGGTGACACGGGCCCACACTGAGTGGCATAACCACTCACAAGCCAGTAGATGGTGCCAAGGGGATGTTTTACATTAAGACTGCAAGACCTTCAGTTGAAAAGCCCTAATTCTGGGTAACTGAAGCTCAGAAGGCACTAACAGACGTGAACAAGGTTCTGTGCCCTCCTGGCAGGCACATCCTGCTCTTGCATTTCTGAAAGTTGTGAGTGAGGCTTGAGGAACACAAGTGGATGGATGTGATCAGCACCCCTGAGTGCAAAACATGCTCCAAAGCAGAAGATTCCTTCAAGCTTTCCATGTTTTTCAGCCCATAAGGCTATGTAATAAATTGACAGGTTCAAATTGTTGTGGCTGAGGTTTCTTGTTTGGGATTTTCTTACTTTTACAGTAAAGTTGACCACTTAAAGTACACAGAACATATGCAGGAAGGATGCATTTGAACCAATGTGTGCCGGTTTTCTGCAATTCTCAATTTATCCCAGCAGAAAAAGACAAAGAAATGCAATTATGTTGTGCTCTGAATTATGTTATATAGTCTGTAATGCAGTGGGTGGGAGAAGGTCTGCCTGTTTAGCCTGTTGTCTGATGAGTATTTTAAACCTGACCACTGTGTGCTGTGAGCCTTACCCTGCAGATCTAGCCTTCATAACTCGTTTTTTTTCGTATTGCTTGTGTTTGATGCTGCGGACAGGCTATTGCAGAGGCGTTTGAAAGCTTTTTACATCTATGTGCAGTACCATTTTCAGGTCAGACATTTCAACATTATAGCCCAACTAAATGCAGCAATTGAGATTGTTGTAGCTGTTTCGATTAGAAATACCCGAAACTGAAGTCGGTGTGCTTACAGTTGTGGATAGCTATACATTCATGTCCTTACAGATATAACAGTGTAGTTTACTCCCATAACTACCTTTATGCTAATATAACTGCATCAGCACTAGAAAATGTTCTGGTTTAGTGGTACCGGTTTCAAACTGGGGTAGGCAACACAATGTAATCGCTGTATTCCCAGGCCTTTGTTTTGCAAATAGGCAGGGGATATGCTGTAATCTTATTTATTGGATAACAAACTTTTACAGATCATAACACAAATCATTCAATAGGTGCAATCCTAACTACTTTAGAAAAGGACTCCTCATGAGCTCAGTACTGTGTTTCAAGTCCCAACATAGAGGAATTGTTTGCCTGCTGAGTTGTCCTCTTCTTATAGCTCCTGGGATGTGTAATTTTATTTGTTCGTTTGTTTAATTATTTATTTAGAGGGAGGAAGCCCTCACATAGCAATAGGAAGATCACACATATGTAACTAACACAGACTTACTCCTTTCTTCCAGCAGTGTGATGTAGCTATCAGTTGACAAGGGTATTTGTTACCAGTTTATATTCTTTTAAGGTTGGGTTAGAATGTATGTGGGATAGTGTTAATTAGAGTAAAATTAGGTAACATTTGCATAAATCCAAGTTAAAATGTCATGAAAATAAATGTCAAATATGTGTTATCTGACAGTTCCTAATTATATTGCCATAGTATATTACTTGTCTTCTTGTGTGATTTTATTCAGTTTTGGATTTCAATGATCCCTTCAGTACTGAGGTTAAGCCAAGAATCCTACTCATGGGATTGAGAAGAAGTGGGAAGTCTTCCATTCAGAAAGTTGTCTTTCACAAAATGTCGCCGAATGAGACTCTCTTCCTGGAAAGCACAAACAAGATCTGCAGAGAGGATGTTTCCAACAGCTCCTTTGTCAACTTTCAGATATGGGATTTCCCTGGGCAAATTGACTTCTTTGACCCTACGTTTGACTATGAGATGATTTTCAGAGGCACTGGGGCACTGATATTTGTTATTGATTCTCAGGTAATAAAAGGGGATTTAAGCTACCTTTTTCTTTTCTTCAGCAATAGACAAATGGGTTCAAAAGCACAGCTTTTTTCAAAATAAATAATTAATGTACATCACAAATACCCATTAAAAGAAAATCATTAAAATTGAAGAGCTGCTTGGTTATTTTTAATCTCCCTCTGCAGTATGTTCAAAAGTTAACTAATTTGCTTTAACATCTCAAGGTTCGTGTGCTCAGACTCCTAAGTGATGACAGCATGAGATTGGTGCACATGCTGGATGTAGGCTCAGGCTTCTACTTTTAAGAAATAAAAAAATTAAGCTGTTGTTGAGCTGTAGCACTATCTAAAAGTATCATAAAATTATATGTATATTTTTAAGAACTTTCCTATGGTTGTAGCTTTTCTTTTTCATTCATTAGGATGATTATATGGAAGCATTAGCTCGGCTGCATCTTACTGTGACCAGAGCCTATAAAGTGAATCCAGATATCAACTTTGAAATCTTTATCCATAAAGTGGATGGTTTATCTGATGATCACAAGATTGAAACGCAAAGAGATATTCACCAGAGAGCGAATGATGACCTTGCAGATGCTGGACTGGAGAAGATTCACCTCAGGTGAGAAAAGGTGCTGTGCGGAGTATCCTAAAGAGGAGAGCAGCTTATTTGACAAGTTACTATTTTCTGTTCTCTTGAAGTAGCAGGCAACAAGCTTTTCATATATGAAGGAAAAGGATAATCAGAGATACTGCATTTGACCTGAGCCAAACAAATTATCTTATTTCTGATTGCTGTCTTGGAGGGAAAGATGGAGAGATGTGCTTAAAAACAGATGAGAAATATGCCAGAGTCCTACCAGTTTTTGCTGTGGCTGCTGTCTTGAAATAAGTTCCTTGTACAGTGGCAGCAACTGGTAGAGCTCCAGCCAGTAGAGTATATATGCTACCTACATCACTTTTGCCTTCTTTGAAGCCTGTCTGCCTCACAGTCCCCTCCCAATCACTAGTCCTCACTGCTGCAGCTTGCTTGGAGCCACTTGGGAAGACAGGTGCTGTATCTTTGCCTTATGTCTGCTAATAAAGCACATTGTTGTAGCACATAATGAAAAATAGTGGACTTCTGCAGACTGGGAACTAGAGGACATCAAGTTGTCATAACTTTCTCAGCACTTAAAGCCAAGTACAAATACATTAAAAAGAGACCTGTTCCGTGAACATGCCAGCTCTTCAGAGCTCTTAACAGCTTGACTGCATTATTGCTTTGATAAATGAGTCCACAGCTTTCAAAAAGCAGATCACAACAGACATACTCAGTAATATTCCTTTCCTGCAATTTGAAAAATATTTTCGTGGGAATACCAAGGTGAGAGTCACATCATGAAGTTCTACACTGATGTATAGTTTGCAGTATCTAGCGTTTGTTCAGAAGTGAAGTCCTATGCTTCAATCATAACATGTGACTTGATCACGAAGGGTAATTGCATAAGTGTAAGCACTTGCTGTTTGACAATATTTCATTTCACTCATATTATGAAAGGTACATCATGTTCACAGTATGTGGCTAAAAGGAAAATGTGGTGACGTTTTTTTCCAGCTTTTATCTGACAAGCATATATGATCATTCTATATTTGAAGCATTTAGCAAAGTGGTACAGAAACTGATTCCACAGCTCCCAACACTGGAAAACCTGCTTAACATCTTTATTTCAGTAAGTACTTGTTATATACTTTGTCTGTAGATCCGGCTATGTCCAACATGCATGTTCAGATACTCTGTTCACTGCCTTCTGAGAGATTATGAGCAATGTGAATGCTCAGAGAAATTATCAAAACTTAGTTGAAATGCACCCACATGCAGCTTGGCCTCCACCTCCCTGTCTGTTAAACAGTGTTGCTGAGCTTCTGAGATACTCACAGTATTTCTTGAATCACATAAAGTGGGTTAGCAGCCATCACTTTCCTGCTCGTACATTAATCTGAATGTTGCAAAGGTCTGTGCTGCATGCATGTGTTGAAGTAGTACTTAAAATTTGTGTAAATAAATTCTAAAAAGAACATCATCTAGTCTGACCTCTTATGTAGAGCTTCCTAGCATTAATTCTACTTTGTATCGAAGTTTAACCTGCTTAAGAAAATCTTCTCTTGTCTTGAAATGTTTAGAGGTAGAGTGCATTACAACTTCCACAGCTTCTATAGTTACTCCCGAGGCCAATTAGAAGAGCTTTGTATACCTAGTGGTTTGTTACCACTGTGGAGGTAATTGCTTGCTCCACTGTTCCTGTACGTGTGGTCCCTTCCTCTCCTTTGTACTGGTTCTGACACTTGCCTGTTCCCTCATGGAGTCACTAATGCACTATTTAATTTAGTTAAAAGCAGGTCACGGAGGAGTCCAACATCCTCTTGTTTTGGCACAAGATAAAAGGTGGCAATGTGTGGCCATGAGCAAAGGGGAACACAGTGAGTAGGTTATGAAAAGGGGGAATTCCCTGTTTTGGTAGTTGTTAAGTCAGGTCATAGCAGCTCCTGAAACTGCACTCTTTCTCACAGTGGGCTAATTTTGCACCTTGCATCTGGCATTAGTTTGTCAAGCTTCAGTTTCTAAGCAAGGTATTTTGTTGTGCCTTTTAATGATTTTGAAGTAATGAAATTATTTAATATAATTCAACAGCCTGTAAGATAAAATTAGACTTTACAGTTTCTCAGTGTAGGGTGTGAAAACAGAGAAAAAGTTGGATGTGTTGCTGAAAGGGAGAGCTAGGATTAGAGGAAGGTCTTTCCAGAACTTATTCTCTTACTGTTAAGCAACAAATGATGCTATTTCATAATGAATTGTTTGTTAGAAAGATCTGTTTCTACCAAAATGGCTGGACTATATACCAGTTATCATCCAGTCTCGAACTCCACTTAGGACAGAAAGCTAATGGAGGAGTGATGACAATGGTTCCAGAGCAATTGGATAGTGAATATGCTACACAGTCTTAAAGAGGAGGCTGACTGAATGATAGTCCTGTCCTCCTTGTGCCGAAGTCACCCCAGCCACTCATATTGTGAGTCAGATCTCTGTATGGGGTCTCCTCACGGTTTGGAGTTGGTGAGAGATGTGTACCGAACTACCAGGTTGCTTCCTGAATGACTGATGACAGTTGCGTGTGTGTCTGGAACACCCCCAGAAGGCAGCTCCAATGATATCTAGAATATCAGATGTAATCTGTAAGGAAGAACAAGTCTTTCAAATCAATGGGAAGTCCAAAAAAGTGAGAGAGGTATGCTATTTCCCCTATTCAGTAGGGGAAACAGTCTCAGACTGTTTCTTAACTCCAAATAGAGCAAAATCCAGTTTGTTAATGACCTAGCAAGGTGTAGTTGCATCACTATGTCCTCAGCATGCTTGCTGTCTGTTTTTACAAGTATCTTCTATCTGCAGACAGGAGACTCGGAATGACTCTTATTTGCAACCACAGGAAGACTAAACAACATTCTGCAGCATAGAACTAGTTAGCACATGCCTCTTTACTTTAGCAACTTAGTGACAACAAATCTTGACATGGATTTTGGTCATGCCTTACTTCAGGAAGCCAGTGTGCTGGATATCGAAGTGTGGGTGTATTGGTGTTCTAGTTTGGGGTTTGCAGGAATATTCATGAGGATTTGCTTTCATTTATGCCATGAAGACTACCCAACATGAAAAGCTGATGATTACAAAAATAGATCTGTGATCACTCTTAAGTTCACAGCAGGTTTTTGCCTAACTTTATAGTGCCACAGTGTGTTAGCTTGTACGTTGGAGGAACCATCAGTGTGGTAATACTGCTTCTACATTCCTTAATGTAGCTCCTAGTAAAGCATAAAATAACAGTTGTTTTGGCATTCAAAACCCATGTAAATCTTACCTGACTAACACTCTTATCAGCTTCATATAGAAGGATGTCGGAAGGATGTCTGGTTTTTAATTACTGTGGCCTTACCAAGCAATCAAGTTGCGTGACACAGGAATGTAGATTTTCATTTTAAGGTTGTTGGGGTTTTTTTGAGAGATGTTAAAAAGTATGTGTTAAAAACAAACAATGAGTTATCATGGGAAAAATAAAATTACATACAGTTTTGTTTATTTAATGATTTAAATTTCATAATCTGTAATTCAAATGTAGTATTTAAAATGAAAATTCATTCACTAAATCTGCTGTTTGCCACAAGACCTGTTTAAATAACTGTACAAAATTCATTCCTAACTGTAAGTGACTGATAATGTCCTGCCAGTTCTTTTAAAACTTACTTTTTCAGGGCCAAATTCTTGCTTACTTTTCATACTTTCAAGAAGGAAAATGTTGGGCCCATTTACCTAACCTAGGAATTGGAGTAATACTACCAGTTTTACAGGACCCATTCCATGTAAAGAATAGAAACTCCCATCTACTTTATCAAAACCAGTATAGTTAAGAAACATGGTTTGAATTTCAACTACCTCACAGTTTTCACTGTTACCCAAAATAAAATTTCATATATTCATTGCAGAATATTTTTCGCAATGGCTCTCTTGGTTCAGATTAGCCATGGAATACTCTTACCTCTGTTCAGAGTGCTTGGTAGAGCTTCTACCACATATTGCATCTTCTCTCCAGACTGTAGGGTTGTGTTAGAGATGACTATTGCTTATTCCGGCCCTGCTGTCATTGACATCAATGGCAGCATTTCATTCAGTGGCATAAGGCAGCTGTTGTTGGCCTTTGTTTCTCTAATAAGGAACCCTCCTGCTCTAGTTAACAGCAACAGTTGTTTTCTTATTGTCATTTTCCCTGGCTGAGCATTAATTATATAATGTGTCTTTGAATAGTATTTTTTATCCTCTGTTTCCTGATTTCTTTTTTATGACTTGCAATTATTGTTTGTACTGATGCCTCTTTCTTCCTTGAGCAATTTTGTCACAAACGTTCTGGCAAATCCTTTGCTTTTTCAGTTAAAGTTGTACTAAAAGCCCTGGCAAATGAAATCTGTGAAGTCATGTGGGTACAATTCAGTGGTTACCACTCCTGGCAGTCCATCCTGCCCTTTCGCCAAGGTTTCTGTCACCATACAAAGTTCGACAGAAGCAAATATGTGCCAGTTTCTCAGCAGGTCCTACCATGGTGTGTTAGTTTCAACTGAAAATGAGCACAGTTTAAGTTAAGACACCAAACTCTGCCTTTACCTTACCTTTTAAACTGTCACTGCATGTATAGGCAGGAGGCAGCAGCTGGAGTTCTGAGATGGAAAAATCACTTCTCGTTGTTAAATGTTATTATATTGTCACTGGCATCTTAATAATTCAAGGTACATCTTACCTGTACAGCTGACATTATCATTATGTCTCTATATAATAGAAAATTTTATAATCGACTCCTCATGAATGACACTATAGGGCTTAAGTTCCAACTTCTTTTGTCTAAAATGACTTGTATTTTCAATTCTGTGTTTTGGCAATGAATTATGGCTATATACTTACATGATATTTACAGGTGAATCTTGTGATTAATTTTATTTTACAGCATCTGTTGAAGTATGTGAGGTGCTGTCAGAATTATTTTTTTAAAAATAATATTACAGAACTATCACATGTGGCAAGAATAACCAAAATAAATATGCATACATTTTTGTTCATAGTGCTCAAAGAATATAGACTCATAGAGCCATGTAGGCTGAAAGGCACCTCTAGAAGTCAGCTCCTGCTCAGAGTCAGTTAGAGCAGGTTGCTCGTGGCTAGGTCCATGGTTTGTGTATCTCTGATGGAAGTCCTACCACCTCTCAGGTCAGCATGCTCCCAGTGCTTCACCACTCGCATGCTAAACTTTTTTTCTTTCTTGTATCAAGTCAAAATTCCAGCTTGTGCATTTTGCCTCTTGTCCTTCAACACTGTAGCTCTGAGAAGTGTTTGGCTCTGTCTTCTGTGCACCCTTACATTGGGTATGTGTAGGTAGCAATGAGCCTCTTCTTCAGGCTGAACAAACCAAGTTCTCTGAGACTGTCCTTGTACATCATGTGCTTCAGCCCATGTACCTGAAGTATCTGCAGTGTATATTTTGGTTTGAGTATTTCTTTTATTAAGAAATAAAAGACTTATTCAGTTGAGTCTTTTCCACAATGAAATGCCAGAAATTCACCTCTGTACTCTTGTTATTACTGATGGGTGTTTCCAGCCTTAGTTATGCGTGCGATGGTGGCAGAATTGAGCCTCTTTAAGAAGAAAATGCCCAAAATATTGCTGGCCATTGTTCAGTAGCCTACTTAGGGTTGAAATTTTTCTGTTTCAGGAAATGCAGAAAGTGGGAGGGTCGCTTCAGTCTCTTAAATATGTATTAAATAGTTGACTTAGGAAAGAAGAAGAAGAAAAAGGAGAAGTTCTGTAACTACAAAGGAAGCTGAAGCTATTAAAACTTGTTAGGGGTTTTCAGTGTGTTTTTTGGTAGTTACAAAGCTGCTGTGGCAGCAGTCCTAAACCATATTAAAAAGGAAAGCCCATATATGGAGAAAATTTGGTTTGTTCAGAGAAAGTTGCATCTCTTCCTTGTATAGGTGGATTCTGAAGCATATTTTACAGCTTGAGCTTTAGCAGTACTGGGAAATTGCCCTTTGTGTTCATGCTGGGACAGCTGCCCAGGTGCAATCCCTTGATATCAGCAAGCAAAGCTACTGTTTTCAGTTAAACAGTACACATTTTTTCCTCTTCTTTTTTTTTTTTTTTTTTTTTTTTCCCCCCCAGGAAACAGAGGCTTATGGCAGTTTACTTATCTACTCAAAGAGTATGAACTAGCATTCCTGGCTAGCCTCTGAGAGCTGTGAATATGATACATCTCCAGTATGGAGAGAGCCTTAGTCAGCTTGGCAGGGTGATAGGAACATAGCTGTCATCACATTAGCAAGCCTTATTATTATAAACATGGCTTTAACCACCAATGCTACATGAAAACTGAAAGAGCATCGTCAAAATACTGGTCTTTCGCCTGTGATCCTAGAAGATGTTCTAAGGAGCCAGACAGTAAACAGCTACAGACCCCGATGAGACAATTTCTCAATTTCCTTGAGAAATGAGTTCCTGAACACTACTACCTTCTTTGTCCATCAACTTCTTTTCCTTATTTCTACCTTCTTACATGTCCAGCTTGAATAACTTTAAATTACAGCTCTCTTTTTATGTCCATTGTTACAATCAAAAACCCAAAAGCTTGATCTTGGAAGTTTCCCCCCCCCACTCCATTTTCCACTGAAGATAAATGTAATCTCTCCAGACGTTTTCCAGAGAGGGGAAGTTTGGGAGTATAACTTGGCATTATGGCTGCTCAGAGGGAGAAACTGCTGGAAGGTCTGCGAGCATCATGGTTTGCTACAAATACAACAGTGCTGTATGTACAGGTCTTTCAAAATGAGCTTCATTGCAGCTTAACTTCCACTTCTTCAGCCTAGCTTTTTGTATAACAGGCAAATAGGGGAACAAAAAAGCTTGGTATTTATTTGAAGACATGGTTTCCATTATATTTTTCTTTCTTTTTTTCTTAACTAGAATTCTGGGATTGAAAAAGCATTTTTATTTGATGTAGTCAGTAAGATCTATATTGCAACGGACAGTACTCCAGTGGATATGCAAACTTACGAGCTCTGCTGTGATATGATAGATGTTGTGATTGACATTTCTTGTATATATGGGTAAGTAAATTCTTAATGTTTTTCATAAAACTATGTACCTAGAATCTGAATGGCCTTGAAATTACAATGGTGTGGGTATAAACAATAATGAGAATGTGTAATTTGTCAGGACAGGGGAGAAGGAGGAAATGGCAGGCCTCTGAAATACAGATCCCCTGCCAGCAACAAGCACTGTTCCCTGCCCAGCCTCTTTTGTGAACACCTTCCTCTTTCTATGCTAATAATTTTATGTGGAGGAAGGACTGGGAAGTAACCAACCTAAAATAAAAGGAAACATTCAACTTTTTTTTTTCCCCAGGGACAAATTCAAGTGAAGGATGCCTCCCATTTGAAAAAAAAAAAGTGGACCATATTTAGTTTTGTTTACTTTAATAACAGGTGGCCTCTACTGGCCTCAGAGAGCTGCTTCACTCTTGCTTCAGTTCTCTATTCATCCTTTTCTCTCTATATGACCTTTGTGTTTTGTTTTTTTTTTTTTTCTAGTTTCCCCTCCTTATACCTCAGCAACTGGAGATCTCCTGGGGTAGCATGTACATCTCCTTGCAAGTTATGTTTTAAATGGCTTGGCCCTTGGCCAAAAGTAATGCCAGCTATTCCTGGGAAAGGCAAGGACACGTTAAGAATTAGTGCATTAAGACGCATAGACTCGGAGGCTAAACTGCAGCATGCTTAGAGCGTGGTAGTCTTTGGCAGCCTTGCATTCTTGCCTGTTGGTAGATTTCTTGTGCTCTTGGAGAAGGTACAAGGGAGAGTCCAAGCGCATATGTGCCATAAGCATTAGATCTTCAAAAGAACAACCAGTTGTTGAATACCCTTTCTAAAATGTCTTAAATGTTTATATTCTACTGTATGTTTCAGCTTTTGGAGTTGGTCACTTCAGTAACTGTACAAGAACTTGTGTTTTACAGAGATATACCACAAAGGATGCTGATTCTGTGGCATTTTTTTTTTATACAAAGATGCTGCTGTGTAGTTCAAAAGACTATGTGTTTAATTATCCGTACAACACCACTTGTTGGGCTCTCTATTCACAAAATGTCCCTCTGCCACTGTCTTTGTAACCATTTAGCATTTATCACCAGAAATCTGTTTGCCATGTTTTTAGCTATAGAATAAAGACATGATATTACAATTAATTTCTTGTCCTCTGTTCCTGGAGCATCTGTGGAACTTTCTACCTTAATATATTACTGATACTAATTGTTCTGGGGGGTTGGTGATAACTACCCATTTAACAAAATCTGTGTGTGCGTTCAGGACTGAGGGTAAAATTACAAGGTATAAACCTAATACAGTGATCATCACGACACATCATCTGTGCAGGAGGAATCTGTTTTCATGATACGATGTTGCAAAAGCCAAAATCTCATGAGGAAAGTCTCATGATGGCTTAAGCTATCAGTCAGCTGGCACTGCTCAAGCAAGGTTACTAGATTTGGCATTACCAGGACAGACTTACTGGTTCACATGTTTCAGATAATGTCATAATATAGTACATTGATAAAAAGAAAACAGACAATCTTGTGGTAAATGATTGGCAAATAATAAAGGAAAAAACAAGGCTCCAGTTCAGGTACTTGGCAGTCAAACAATCTAATTTCTAGCCCCAGATGTAAGATTTGGTGTGTGATCGGATAAATGATGTAATCTCTATGTTGTCTTAGTTTATGTAGTGTGTAGTCTGAAGAGCCTCCCTGAAAGGTTAAATTGAAAATTTCATAAAGTTTGAGACTATCTGGTGAAAGAACCAATGTGGGAGTACTTTCGTTAGCTCATCTGGTGGCTTATCTTTTCTTGTTTGTTTGTTTGAATATTGCCCCTTAGGCTTAAAGATGACGGCACTGGAACTCCTTATGACAAAGAATCAATGGCAATCATAAAACTGAACAATACAACTGTCCTTTATTTAAAAGAAGTGACAAAATTCCTTGCTCTTGTTTGTTTTGTCAGAGAAGAAAGCTTTGAGAGAAAAGGTATTTTTCCTTTTTCTAGTATTGCACTACTTTTTCCTTATATTAGCAAGTTAATGAATAACTGTGGTTGTCATTAGCTGATAACAGTCTCCAGCTGTATTACAAATATTAAAGGTAAGTACAGCTTGACAGAGCTTACATAACATGCTTAAAGGCATGAAGTATTTGTGCTGGCATTGAGATAAGATGAAATCATAAATGTATTTGACAACTTTCTGATACGAAAGCATATGAAAGTTTACATCCAGTACAGTAAAGCTTCCATCTGCAAGAGTAGAATGTGTCAGTTTATCTTGGCTAACACTGATTTGTACCTGTTGGCGCCAGCATACGCATTTGGAACAGCTTGCGTGCCGCAACCGAGGGAAAATTAGTGAAACTGGCTGATAGAAAGAAATATGTTCTTGCTTTTATCTTTGAAAGGAGGCTTTTGAAAAGCTGCATATTTGGGAACTACATGTCTTTCATATTTTGTGGTTGAAGTGCATAAAATTTCTTGGTTATCTCTCTGACCCTGGTCAAGGTCAATCCTGAAAGCTTAGCTCACGATCGCTCTGCTCACTGGCATGATGTTCACTGAGTCACTGGTCTTAGTGAAATGCCCTGAGACCAGAATTGAGCAGTGGAAGAACAAGCCATCATCGGGGCTTGTGTCCTCATCTCGTGATATTAATTCTCTAGTCAGTGCTGGTGTGTTTGTGAATGCAGTACTCATACCATGTCTGCTGGGCTGTTTGACTTTTATTTCATTGAACTTCAACCGGTTGAATTTCTCTTTAATACCTGTACGGTATTATACCTTATATGTGAATGTTAGAAGTGGTCACTTTCTTTTTTTTGCTGTAAGCATAAAAAGTGTTACTTTCACAAACCTAGTAGTAACACTTTTTCTGAAAGGACACCATGTTGAATAAACACCCATTAGGGTTTGTCCACAATGTGTCAGGTTATTATGTCTACATAGTTTGGGACACTTACTGCTGTAGCCTGTGCTCTTTAACAGTACAGTTCTGGTATTAGAATGCAGATTAGCTTTCGGTGCCTGGTGACTTCCACATAATATTTTGTCCTGGAGAAAATCAAAGCGTAACATGGTGGATTTAAACCAGTTAAATAATGTGTCATCTCCTGTTAGGGAAATTGAAGTGGAAAACACTGCAGTACTTGAGTTGAGAAAGCTTATGGCATTGACCTTGAATGAGGTCATATGCTCAGTACCAAAATTCTGAAATTGTATCGCAGTATCACACAACTGTAGCACCCAGTAAGTCTTCCAATTGACTACCAATATGGCTTTACAGCTTTTCTGTGGGATCACATTCAGCCCACTCACATGGTAATATTATCTGCCTATTATGTATGTATGTAATCTAACAGCATGTCTATTGTGTTATTTTTCAATTACAATGTAAGATGAAATATAGCTGCCTGTTATTTGGCAATATTTCTATCAAGTATCCATTTCAAAGCTCATGCATTGTCAAAAAAAATGAAAATTCTTTGATTACTAGATACTACTTATTTTTATCATAGTTATTCTGTAAAGCAAATTTACAAAATGACACCATATTTTATGAAAGATTTTAAATTTTCTTGTAGTATACTGAGCACTTCTCCAAAGCTCTTTGTTAAGGCTTTCTTATCTGCTGACGAACTTCTATTTGTTTTCTCTTAAGACTAGTAAGTATATTTAATATCAGACATAGTATGAAACTATGATGCTTGCTGAATTATTTTTATTTATCAAACATGCTTTTGCTTAGCACAGAAAAAAATGCCAGGGAAATTCACTGATTATGACCTGAGAGACAGTGTGGTATTTCACTAAGTGTAGAACCTAAGCAATTTTTTCATTACCTAATTTGTATAACTGTCTTTATTAATACGGAAAATATTTCTGTCTCTGTAGGATTAATAGACTACAATTTCCATTGTTTTCGAAAAGCCATACAAGAAGTATTCGAAGTAAGAATGAAAGTAGTAAGGTCTCGAAAACATCAAAGCCACATGCAGAAAAATAAAAGGCCCACTCCCAATGGGACACCAAGAATGCCACTGTAACTGAGGTTTTCTGGCAATGTGGCGAGCAAAGTTTTCGTGAAGCTGATGTGACTTCTGCATCTCATTGCACTGAGTGAAGAGGAAGACAGATGGGACTGATGTATTATATGAATTTTCCTTGAACGTTCAGAAAGCACTGTTTAAATATTTTTATCCAATCAGTTTTTTTCATATAGTGAGCACTTTGAGCAAAATGTTGTATATATAAGCATTGAGGTGAACACTTGTAAGAATTTTCTTAATATATGCTGTAAACCTTTTCCATGCCATATTAAGAAAAAACAGCTGTGACAGAAATACTGGGTACATAATTTGCACTTTTACATGTTTTCCTTGTGGAGCTGGACTTTGATAAACTTAGTTTTTATGGTGATTTTGATGCATGGTGTCAGGTAAAATGTATGCTGTAGTTGATTTACCTGCTACAATCAAATTGGTTAGTAAACAATTAAGAAAACTTGGTACAATGCCTTTTAAAATTTGTGACAGCTAATACCTAACATTCATACAGATCTAATTTCGTATATTTTTCAATTTGTAAATTAAGAATAATTTTGAAGTATTACAGCAATAAGCACCTTACCAGGGATCATAACTGGTAGGTAAATATTAGCTTTTATAAAACAGGCTTTTGGCCAAATTTCATCTGGAGTTCTTCATAACACTGGTCATGCCCTCTGTTGGGTCTGTCTTTAGTATTTACCTCAGCATATACCACTAAAATACCTTTCTATAAAGAGAATTGTTTTGTAAAATGGCTCTATGTTGCACTGGTATTTTTATAAGGCTTCAGAGGAGGGTGTTGTGTCTGAAAGGTTGAATTTACATTGCTAAGTTTGTTTTGAGAGCCTGTACATCTGCAGTTGGCGCAGTGAAGAATCTGTATGTATTTCCACCCTGATGTTCTGATGTACTGATAGAAAGTCCTAAAGATGTGAGCACTGGGTTCTGGTTCCCTCTAATAGGGGTATGTCTGTGACTGAAATCAAGAAGAAACCATGAACATGAGGACTGGACAATCTACCTGCTGTAGTAATCAGCATACATCACTACTTCTTATTTTAATATTGAACATGGGCAGGTTTGGCACAGGGTCAGCCAGGACAGCAGAGCACTCTCAAACCTAAAAAGAAGTAAAATGTACTTTCTGAGTTCTGTATTCACTGGTTTTGTTTAATTAATGATACAAAATCATGGTTTCTAGTAGGAAGAGCAACTCTTTCTTTTTTTCTCAGTCCCGCCGCAAAGCAATTGCATGTTTTCAGCAGTGTTGTCAGCAGCTCTTGGGAGTGGGAAGAGCTTGACCTGAATGGGAGGCAGCTTGCCATACACGAGAAACAGGTAAGGGGAGGTATTCCTCACTCATTCATAACTAATGTGCCCCGAGCTGAGATAGCTCTGGAGACAGAAGGGAAGATGGAATTTGAAAGTTTTCTCTTAGCCAAGGTAAGGTCTGCTGCATGTCTATCGGTGAGTTAAGAGCTCCCCATGTTTGCTGGCTTCTGTTGCACAAGGGGGGGGGGGTTAACCTGTGGTAAGCAAGTCTAAATTCAGTTGTGGTTTGAATGCAAATGCAGAGTTTGTTTCTGTATGCTATATATTGACACATCTTGAGGCTGTAGTACTATACTGAATATACAAGCTGGGAGAGCCAGTTGGCATGAACGCAAAGGCTCCCTACACCAACATCTGCCAAAAAAGAGACCAGTAGTTTCCATGCCCTTTACTGCTGCCTGATGCATGTGACTTATGTTTTTGAAACAAATTGGCTCTTTTGGCATGAGTCTATTGAATATATGTGGAACTCTAGAAAAAGGTGCTAGTCAATAGATGAAGCTCAGCTCCATCAAGGCTCACTTGTTACATAATGCAGTCCTAGGCGCTCAGGAAGGTGAGAAACGTTGAGGATAGCCAGAAGTACCGGTCCTGGTGCCAGTGTGAAAGACAATGACAGTAGCTGTCATCAAAGCAGAACGTTTCAAAAATATAGAGAGTTCCAATTCCTTTCGGTACTGTCACCACCTGTCATCTCAGGTGAGGGCAGCTCTTCTGACCAGCCCCTCAGTTAAAGTAACGCTAAGCTGTCTTCAGAGTTCACCGCAGCAATAGTGGGTAGGAGCCACCTTCTGACAGCTCTCCAGTCCACAGGACTTTCACTGAAGGGCTGCCATAATTTCTGGCCACACATTTGTCTTTCATTTTTTTGAGACCCATCACTGGGTCACAATCTCTGTCCTTCTCCCTTGACTCCTTCAAGTATAGCTGACTATGTGGGACAAAGAACACCTAGCAAGCTGGACCAGACACTGTTGGGTTTTGCTGGGTTTTGTTTTTCAATAAAGTATCGCATCATACTGGTTATGGTATGAAACATAACTAAATGGAGTTTCCGTATATTTGGCCTGAGTTCTATGTAGTCAGGCATACCCTTGTATTTAGAGACTATCAACTTACTTAAGACAATTAAGTTCGCTCTTGTAGTCCCCTCCAGAATTTGGCATAGATTGTGTTGCATAATTTAGTGAAGGTGACTTTAACTAACATATAAAATTTCTAATTAGATATATTATCAGAGTAAGCATAATTTTTATCAGATTACTTATGTTTCAAATATGTTTAATTATAAAATGTAAAGAATGTTAAAAATGCATTATGTTTTACTGTTTAACTTTGGTATTTTCAGTTTAGGTGAGGACTTGCATGTTTCACTTTTGCATAATCATTTTCTGATTAGTACCTCAGATTTTCATGTTCTAGCTGAAGTGATTGAGCACTGAGGCATGAGAGGTTTGGTGTTGTTTTTTTTTTTAAGAACATTATTTCAAATCTCTTTCCTTTTCTTTTAAATTTTATTGAGTCTTTTTATTTTAAAGGGATGGAATACCCCATGTGCTACAAGAGACAATACTGACAAGGCAGTGTTGAGATACCTTTTTTAAAATTGGAAATTGTGCAAGAAGTAATCACTTCTCAAATAGTGCAGTATTTTGAAAACACCTGATCTGTGAGTCTCCATTTTTAAGTATCATCAGAGTTGCCTAGACATAGTAGGGACCATTATTGAACTAGCCACGTCTCTTTAAAACACTGCTTTAGAATAAACCCAAACCAATTTAGTATCCCATAGACGCTTTAAAGTCAGGAGCTGAATAACTACAAAACATTGGTTCCAACAACTTGTTGTAGTTGAGGAAATCTCTGTAAGTAATTCATTTGGCATCAGCCCAGAGTACTTAATGGATTCTCTGAAGAGTTAAAATGCATCCATGAGCATGCACTGGAATATGGCTATTTAAAACGTTACCGTGCTGGAACGTCTTTCTAAAATTCTGTGATTACAGAGGTTCTGTGCATTAGCATGGAAGTGTAATTAACAGGAGTAAAACTATTCTGATAAAGCATAATTCAAGTGGATCATTTGAGATCTCATGTTTTGTGACAGCACAATTTTTTTTTTCTCATTAAAACAAAAATTCTGGTTTTTCTTGCATGTGAAATTGTACCCCTGTGGTAGAGTTTAATACTAAGGGGGGTCATTCTGTGAAAGTACTGCAGCAATTTTAAAAAGAAATTTTAAAGTACCTATAAACTCCCTCTATTTTTATATGCATCATCAGATTAAGTTGAAGAATTGAGGAAAATAACCCTAAACAGGTCATCATTATACAGTATTATATATTATACATCATATACTGTTTACTTTAATGACATACTTACTGTCCCCGTCATTTGCACTAGTCATCGCAGAATATTTTTTTCTTAAATTGAACATTGAGGCTTTTTTCCATTTTGTACTGAATGATGTGCATGACATTATTACATAGTGATTTTTGTTGCTGCAGCTATATCTCTGTCCTGTTCAATGGGGAAGTCAGATCATTAACACCAAAATTTCTTATCCAGATTCTAAATATTTATCAATAGCCACGTGTGAATTTACTCAATTACAGACAAACACATCAACTTCAACCATTTCAGCTGTGTGGAAAATGAGAAATAAGCTTGGTTGGGAAATTCTTTTGGGGTCCTCTGATATGGTGGCATATGGTTGACATCCCACTTGATTTCCCACTGTATTAATATTTGCACATTAGCTCATGCACATCTCTTCAAATGGCTACATTTCAAAAAGACTCTAACAGACTGTTTCTTTTCATTTGTTTCCTCCCTAATATCTTCTGCATTACCTTTCTCATTTTGCAGGTATTTGCATATATCTCTGTATGCATGTTTCATTGTAAACAGGTCAGATGATACCCAGTCTTCTTAGTTCCTGCCAGCCTGCTCTCTTTGGCTTATAAGCATTATGAGCTACAGGCTAGGTCTTCAGCAAAAAGCTACTGAAAAAATACTGAGTACAAAAATATCTAAATTGTATAACATCCATTACATGCTACTAACATCCTTAAAAAGATACAGCATATTTATGTAATATCTTGGTATGTATGGAAACCATAGAATACGTGTTCATATTTGTTAGAGTTTATGCTGGCAGTCAGATTTTAAACATTTCTTAATCATCTCCAGAACATACTTTAAAATAAAAGATTCATACAGATAAATACATCCAAGGAAAAAAATTGATCTAATGCAGCAGTTTGTCACAATGTCTCTTGGACTAAACTAACATATTTTTGATAAGGTAAAAGAACTTCAGGAGACTAGTCAGAGAAGATACTCCACTGAATATTTTCCGTAATAATACCAGGAGCTGCTACAAGAAGGAAGGATTATTTATTTCAGAATTGCTGAGTACCAGAAAGGAGGTAGAGAAAAAAACACTGATGCCCTTTTTTAAAAAAACCAAACAAACCAAACCTACAACTAAACACAGCCTAAATTGAGAAGAGTTGGGATTAAACACCTCATAGATGAGTGCAAATGTAAGAGTCCAAAAAAAAAAAAAACCCAACCAAAACCAACAGTGGCCTAGCACGTAGGCCAGAACATTTCATAGTGTATTCCAAGCAGCCTTCTTTCACAAAATGCAGGCCAAGAAAAGACAAAGGGCTTATGAGAACAAGATGCACATGTGTACATTGAACCATGGTGAGGTGGTCTGGGCAAGCTCAGTTGCACCGTACGGTTCTCAAAAGCCCACGTAGTAGTGGCCCAGCAGTGACTTGCAGGACAGTATCAGAGCTGTCTTTGCTATTATAGCAGGATTTACCCTTTATGTAGGTTTTGATCTTCACTCAGAGTGAACTAAAAGCCATTCTGGACTCTGCTGAACTAAAGGGTAGTGTGGGTACAAATATAAGTATAAACCAGGCACGAACACATTCACATTGAAATTTGGAAATGGGTTTCTCAAGCAAGAGAGCAACAATGTTCTGGAGCCTCTTCTCAGCGCAGGGAGAGCAAACAGCCTGACTGTCCAAGAGGAACCTCAGCTTGTCCATGAAAAGGGGTCTAAGTCGTGAGCACGCCCATTCCCTGAGAGTGCCAGCATCAGGGAATGCTATGGGCCTAACTCACTTTTTCATCAGCACTGCACATTTCTGACCCAGGTGGACTCATGTTTGCATGTAGGTGTTTATATGTCAGGTAGGTGTCCACTCAGCCAGGACCAATCTATTCATCACTCCAAGTTTATGTTCTTGGTCCTCCTAATTAGGCTTCCTCCTTGCTCCTTCCCACACAAAACATGAGTCTCATATCTAGTTCGTGCTTCCTTGATAAATACTGCTCTCGTCCTTCCTCAGCTTTCTGTTATTCCAGATAAAACAACCATCCAGCAGTTTGTGAGCCAGTAATGCTTTCAGAGTCCTTCACACGCAATGCTGCGAGTTCTCTTCTGCAGCTGTGGCTCCTCTAATGCTGCTGATAAAACTTCTTGATCGGATGGAGTGGTGGATGTCCAAGCAATAAACCTAAAATCTTTAAACAGCCCTCCTGGGGTTTCTAGAAGCCCCACCATCCACTTTTCGGTGGTATCATTCAAGGGACCTGACACCTGTGATACAATTCCTACTTGTTAGGAGGTTAAATCAACTATTGGTTGAATTTTCCCCTGCTGTTGATGCACATCCACATCAGTTTTGGGGGCTACTTTGATAACAACCAGAGCCATTTGAGATGTGGGAAATGTAATCTGTTTCAACTCCTTTTGCAAAGAGGTATACAGAGAGAACAGGGGTGTGCCTTCTGGGAAACCCAGCAGAGCCAAATCAAAAGGTCCCAGGAGCCAATATCTTTGTCTCTTAAACCCTGCACGGGGAGGTAGAACCAAACTCAGCTTTTCTGCAGTGCCCTTTTCAAAGACTGAATCATCTGCTGGCGAGCCAAATGGTCTGATCCACAAATTGCTTCTCTTTCAATACGGCCTTCACAGCTGCTCGAACTTCTTTTGACTGCCAGGATGCCATTCATCACGCCGTCTGGCCTCGCATCCTAAGTGCCAAATGCAGGCTCTGCAGCAGAGGCACACGAGTCAGCTCACTCCCACCACTCCTGTCCCCCTTGCTCAGCGCTGTTTCCAGTCCCGTTCCTTCAGCAATTTGATTTCACATTTCAATTCCACATTTTCTGTCTATAAAGCAGCAGTTGTCATTCCAAGTTCTGCAATTCTTCATAAAGCCCATTGTGCAGAAACTTGAGTATTGGCTTTAAATTTAGCGTTCTCTTGACAGATTATAAATACCTTTCCTGCTCTTCTCAGTGCACGCCCTCCCTTGAAAGCTTCTTGCTCCCATGAACTGAGTGCATCCTTAAAAGTTCCTCAGGATGGGTAAAGTCCATTCCCTTCTGCTCTCCCCTCTTTACATTACTACCATTAATAGTCCCCATAAAATACAAGCTATAAATCTCTAATTTGAATAGTTACGACAACACCAGACTGCACAATTGTTCTGAGCTTTTGTTATTCCTCTTTCAGAAT